ATTCGTCGCGACATCCTCGAAATTCATGCGCGCGGGACGCGGCACGCGCGAAACATCATCGGAATTCCTACGCGAGGGGCGCTTTTCCGCGTCGCGATCGGCTCTGCAAAACCAGCGTTTCGCTCGAGACATCCTCAACAAATTCTGAAAACAAGCGTTTCGCTCGAGACATCCCCAACTCTGCAAAACCAGCGTTTCGCTCGAGACATCCTCAACAAAATCTGAAAAACAAGCGTCTCGCTAGGGACATCCTCAAAAATAATTCCGCCGGCCCTACTCCCGCACGTAATTTATCGCAAAATAATTTCGCCGGCCCAAGTCGCAGGGGGGCCGGGGGGTTAACCTACTAAAAGAGAACACTGGGCCCGCGCCCTTTCCGGGAAAAATACTCCCCCCTGTGCTATTTTTGTTGAACACTCCCCCTGTAGAGGTACAGGCCCGACTTAAGCTTCGGGCGCGAGCTCCGAACCGTATCCCCGGAGCCTCCAGGGCCTCCAAATCCAGAGTCCGTGGCGGGCGCCAGGCCCCGAGAGGGCTCAAGAGCCCGCCAGCAGGCGCCAGCGAGCGAGCCCCGAAGAGGCCCCCAGGAAGGCCTCCCGACGGTCCCCAGGGAGCCCTCGTTTTTTTTTTTTCCCCAGGGGGGCAGGACCAAGAAAACCCTCCAAGGAGCCCCAAAACTGTCACCGAGAGGCTCCCCAGAGGCTTCCCAAGAGACCCGCACGGGCGTCCACGAAGCCTCTCATGCACCAGCCGGGCACGGTGGCAGGACGTGCCGCGGGCAGCTGCGAAGCTATCGCACGCTGTGTCCATCACTACGTTCGCCTCTTGCCTTTGCGGGCTTTCGACCCCTCACCACGGCCCAACACGTTCCGAGCACTGGCTCAGACCCACCCAGGGTGCCGCTGACAAAACGCCGGAGTGCCACTGCGCGCCCGAGGAGCATACTTGCGCGCCATCCCACCCAGGAGGGTCCAACCAGAAACACCAGGAGGTTTACAATGAGCACTGCAACGTGGCCCGAATTACCTCCAGTCCTTCTCCTCCTGCTTCTCGTATTCCTTCCTCCTTCTCAACTTGCTCCCCATCTCACCCTGTTGCGAACTCACCATCGCCCTCGAACCCGTCTTCCTGCACCTGTTCTACCGCTGCCGCCGCGTCCTGTCCATGGGCAAAACCGACGTCACGTGGCTTCGACTCCGCCTGAATGCCACAATATGCGTGACACGGTTGCTCGCCCCGTGCATCCCGCAACCATCCTCCACCTTACAGTCGGGCCGCTGAAAGAAGGACCGCTCTACAAGGAACGAAGCCCCTGTTTGGCCCGGAAAGCGCCTCCGTGCCCGAGGAGGGCAAGAGGAACAGCAAAGGAGGAGCATAAGGAACATCGAGCCCTTTCCGAATCCAAATTGTTCCTTATTTCACCTCGGGGATCTTATGACCCGTGTCAATCCAGACCCGGGTCAGCAACGCAGGTCTTCGCAAACCTGGGTCAGCCAATGTGCGCGGCCGCCTCGCGGCCACGAGCGGCTCGCTAACCCGGGTCAGCCAGAGGGGATCTTCGCAGGATCCTGCAGGATCTGGCGCTCTGGCTGACCCCCGTTTGCATCGATTCGTCTCAAGGCTCCCGACCACCGCCTTGGCTGCAACCCCCGGGCGCCCTGCAACCTCCTCTGGCTCCACGCTGGCTGGAGCCAGACCATCCAGGCACATGTAAAACAGGGCTAGCATCGGGATACATCGCTCCAGAGCGTTCCGGAGCGCTCTCAGAGCGTTCCGGAACGCTCTGGAGCGGCCGCGGCGCCCAATACATCCTCCAAACCCGCCGATTCTCAGAGATTTCGAATTATCCCGATCCGATTTTGTCCCGATCTTCGCGTCGTTTTCAACGTGCCTCGCCCAGGCGCCTCCCGGTGACGCCCCCCCTCGATCGGGGGGCCGGCGTCGGCACAGTGGCCTACATGGGCCTCTTGAGAGCACTTGCAGGTCGCGCGAGGGAAAACACCCCATCGCTGGACCTGTCGACCTCCGCTGTTGCGTGCGTTTTCCAGCTTGCCCCCCCCAAGATCCCGAGATGTTAAAACGACACGAAGATCGGGACAAAATCGGATCGGGATAACTCTGAGATCGGCGGCGGGTTTGGAGGATCGGCGGGTTTGGAGGATGTATTGGGCGCCGCGGCCGCTCCAGAGCGTTCCGGAACGCTCTGAGAGCGCCCCGGAACGCTCTGGAGCGATTTATCCCGATCCTAGCCTTGTTTCATCAACCAGCCCCCCCCAAGATCCCGACATGTTCCCTGGGGCCAGTTTCGTCTTTGTTCTTGGTCGCCACTCCAATCGAGGTGCTTCTTTTTTTCACAGCAGCGCCCAGGCCCCTTTTTACAGTGCATCTGCGACAGCAAGAGGCAAACTGCAGCAACAAAAAAAAGTCATCGCACCTGCCCGGCCTAATAGAACTGCCCGGCAGAATAGAACTGGATCTTGGGGCTGCAGGCGGGCAAGACCTGAACTGTTACAAACACATGTCGGAGGAGAGCTGCGAGGCCGCAGGACAGCCTCCTCGAGGGTGCCCTCCCTCCTCCACCGCCCTCCGCCGCCGCGCTCCGCCCGGGCACCCCTCCCACCCGCCGCCCGACGATCCATGCCTGCCATATAACCTGGCCCACCAGAGAGCGCGCGTGCGGCCCTTGCCTCTGCCGCGGTGCGACGGCAAAACCGTTCCGCCTCCTCCTCCTCCTCCTCCTTCTCCTCCTCCTCCTCCTCATCCTCCTCCCCCGTTCCTCCTCCTCCTCCTCCTCCCCCGTTCCTCCTCCTCCTCCTCCTCCTCCTCCTCCTCCTCCTCCTCCTCCTCGTCCTCTTCATCCTCCTTCTCCCCGTCTTGACGCGAGGAGGTCCCGGGGAGGCCTGGCCCCCCCAAAAAAGGCGCGGGCGCACGTACTCCTGCCCAGAGCGGGGCGGGTCGTAGTTGATGACCAGCTGGCAGCTCACCCCGGCGAACTGCGCCGCGCGCGCGGAGGCCTCGTGCTTCAGGGCCACGACGGTCACCTAGCGGGAGGGGTCGCCGCCGTCGCTGAGGTCGCCGTCGTCGTCTTCGTCGTCGTCGTCTTCGTCGAGATCGTCGTCGTCGTCGCCGACGTCTACAGCATTTCTGTCGTAGTCGTCGTCGTCGGAGTACGAGGGGAGAAGAAGAGAAGAAAGAGGAAGAGGAGGAGGGAGGGGGAAGAGGCAGGGGGCACATGAGAAGGAAAAGAGGGGAATGAGGGGAAAGAGGAGCAGTAAGAGGAGGTTGTTTTGTGGGGAGAGTTCCTGGTCGCCTACCTCCAGCGTTTTTCCAGTTCCACCACGTGGCCCCTGGGCAGTCAGAAACCGACTGAGGATGGAAATTAGTCCCGGATCAGCGGCTCGAACAAATTCGAGTAGCCTGTCTGGGGAGGGGGAGGGGGAGAAGGAATAGTTTGATCGGAAGGTTGACCTCCTGGAGCCTCTGTTGATGCTGCACTTGAACCCTCCGACGCTGTGCTCGCTCGGAGGGGTGGAACGACGGATGCTGACAAGCCATACCCCGAGGTCAGGAAGAGAGGAATAAGAGAACGAAGAGAAAGACGAACAGAACGGCACATGCGCCGACAATTGTGTTGACACAGTCTGCTCTTCCTCGAACTTGTTGTTCAGAATTCGCGATAAAGGGCGCGATCGGGCCAGAGGGGGGCGGAGCTCGCCCTCCTGGTCACATCACGGCGGGGGGGGGCGCCAGGACATCTTTGCACATGTAGGCAACACAGCGTGACGTGATCGGGGGTGGGGGGGTGGGGGGGAAGGACAGGGCTTAGGTGGGACATGTCCCCCTACTGGGGGATTTTGGGCGAAAAACAATACATACTCCAAACTAACACCCCAAATTGGCAAACATAGTCAAAACATAGTCCCCTGACTATTTTTTCAACTATTTTTGAATTCTCCTCCTGTGGAGGGACAGGCCCGACTTAACTCTGAGAGGGCCGGCCAAGGCCGTCGTCATCCAGACCTTCCCGCAAAAACAGCCTCTTCGATCCCCGCTCCTCAGATCATTCACAGCGGCGCGCCAGAGGGGGGCACCCGCGGTGCACCCGCGAGGCTGGCGAGGAGAGCGGCGCAACAGCGCACTGCTCTCAGGCGCCGCCCGCGGCGGTGAGCCACCGCTCCCACGTGCGCACGAGCTGCTGCAGCCCGTCGCAGAAATTGTCGTCCCGCGCCTGGGTTCCGGAGAACGGAAAGCTCGACGTTCGAGGGTTCTTGACGTTTCCCTCGGCTCCCGGCGGATCTCTGGCTCGGGAAGCTCTCCGGCAGCTGCGCCTCGCCGATAGCGTTCTGGGGGTGCCAAAATCGTCCCGAACGACCGCCAGATGCCTGAGCCGGAGCCATCGCCCGAACACCACCAAGGTCAACGGTCCCGCTCCAGGGCGCCAAGTGGGCGCAAAGCTGAGGAACCTTCCTCCGCACCTCCCTCTTGCCGTCGCTCGGACGTCCATTTCCCGTGCATTGTTCAGTTTCGTGCGTGTTTTTGCTTGCTCCTCCTCCTCCTCCTCCTCCTCCTCCTCCTCCTCCTCCTCCTCCTCCTCCTCCTCCTCCTCCTCCTCTCCTCCCCATCCTCCTCCTCCTCTCCTCCCCCTCTCCTCCTCCTCCTCTTCCTCCTCCTCTCCCTCCTCCTCCTTCTCGTCCTCCTCCTCGTCCTCCTCCTCCACATCCTCCATTTCCTCCTCCTCACTCCTCCTCCGTCTTTCTCACACTCCTTCTCCCCAACCTCATCCCTACCTACTCTCCTCTTCCTGCCTCCTCCTCGTCCTTCTCCGCCTCCTCGTCCTCCTCCTGCCTTAACCTCCCCCCCCCTATCCTCCTCGCTCCTCCCCCTCCGCCTCGTCCTCGTCCTCCTCCTTCTCCTCCTTCTCCTCCTCCTCCTTGTGTTCTATCTCTTCCTCCCTCCTCCCTCCTGCTCCCTGCCCCATACAGATTTCGGTGCGCCCGAATCCTTGCCGGTGAGGGTGTAGTGCATCAGGTCGATGAGCTTTATGCGCCAGCGGCCTCTCTGGGAGACATCTCTCCTGCGCGCCCTGCGAGGGCCGTCTCGGGGCGCCTCTGGGGCCCCTCGGGGAGGCTCTCTCTGCTGGGCCGCCTTGGCGTCCGTCCTCTGGGCGCCTGCCGAGGCCGCCTTGGGGCCATCTTGCGCTGGTCCCACTCGGAAGAGTGATGAGGAGGATGGCGGGCGATTAGCGATACGGGCAATGGGAAGGGGAGGAAGAGGGAGAGGGATCGCGGGGGAGAAGAGGGATGGATGAGGACGAGGAATCGAGGGGGAGAAGAGGGATGGATGAGGACAAGGAGGAGGAGGAGGAGGAGGAGGAGGAGGAGCAGGAGGAGGAGGAGGAGGAGGGGGAGTGAGGAGGAGAAGGAGGAGGAGGAGCAGGAGGAGGAGGAGGAGGAGGAGGAGGAGGAGGAGGAGGAGGAGTGAGGAGTGAGGAGGAGGATGAGGAGGAGGGAGGAGGAGGAGGAGTGAGGAGGAGGAGGAGGAGATAATAGGAGCCTGGGGACGCAATGCCCCTCGATGGACGCGCGCGCGCCGCGACGGGGCTGCCCGCCAACCCACCTCGGGCGGCGGCCCCGCCCCCTCGGCAGGCGACGGTGAGTGCCGCGCCGAGGCACCGCAGAAAGGCGGGTGGGGTTCCCAAAGGGCAGCCCCGAAACCTTTGCGAACCGGGAGAGGACGATCAGCGCCTCCGGCAGGAACATCGGGAAGAGCTCGTCGAGCACCGTCGGCTCCTCGCCCAGTCGAACTGCTCCCGCAAGCAGCCCACGTGGACTGCGCTCCTGCAGCTCTGGCAGACGACCATCACACTCCTGCGAGCTATGCGAGGCGGGGGTTGATCCATATCGGGGTGGCCTTGCACTCGACGTCAACGTCCGAGCTCGCCCCGGCAACGGGACCAGCGCCATCCCAGCGCGGCAGCAATGCCGCCAGCCGTGGGGCAGACATCCCCCGCAGGGACCACGAGTGTAGGCTGCGCCAACGCGCCCAGCATCGCATCGATGTGTGCTCTGTGTCGCTCTGAATGCTGGACCGCGCCCTTGACGAAAAGGCGGCGCCGCCAACCGCCAGGTGCTCCACCCTTCCCAGAAAGTGCGCACACCTCCAAGCGGGCCGTGAGCCGTTCCAGCAACCGCCGAGGGCTCCGCGACACAGACCTGCACGGTGCTACTCCAGCCGCCCAACTTCCTCCGTCTCCACCCACTGCGCCCTCGCATTCCTCAGCGCCTCCCGGCCGAAGCCCTTTCCCCGCCTGCCGCAGAGAGGACGCGGAGGCTCGGCTGAAATTGCCTGGGACGCGAGCGGCGTGAAGGGCGACGTTGCGCCGCAGCCGCTGCAGCACCGTCGTGTACTGACCTGCCAGCAGGGCGGCGAACGCGGGCGCGCAAGCAGCACGGCTGTGCGCGAGGCCTGCGCACTCGGCGACCGCGTCGAGTGCCTCCACGGTCGCGTCGACGCCCTCGCGCAGCTCCTTCACCTCGGCGGCGAGGCGCGCCACGCGCCTGTCGACGACGACTTGGTCCAGGCCCTGCGCTCGCGCCCCGAAGTCGCCTCCAGCTGGCGCCCTCCAGGGGCGCGTCCCGCAACCATCATCACTTGAGTCGAAAACCCTGCTCCCTCAAAGCCCTCATGCCCGCCCGGGATGGGGGTACGCAAAGGACAAGGTCCAGGAGCAAGGGGCCCACGGAAAAGCATGATCTAAAATGGATACGGCAAGGGGGACGAGGAGGACCAGTGTAGACTCAAGAGTCATCAACGATGTTGGAGTAAACCCTCCCTCCAACTTCCCTCATCATCGGCCCCTACAGCGGTTCATTTCCATTGATGGAACTGCCTCGTTGAGAGACACCAGTTTGAAGACCCTGAAGCATGCCAAAACATGGTTCTCGGGATTCCAACGCCACGGATCAACCGGATTGTTGCGCCTCGACGCTCCTGAATCGTGCCAGAACGCCATTTTGGGGACGCCGACACAGAGAATCAACCGATTATCACAAAGAATGTGCGAGAATCTATTTTTGGGTCGCCGACACCAAACTCCTGCGCCCGGATCATCTTGAACCCTTCCAAAGCACATATTTTGGTACGTTGATGGTGGGAACCCGTGACACTCTTGAACATGTTGTAGACGAACGAGTGTGCGCCGCGCGAAAGCGAGAACCACATTTTGAAAACGACACGCCCGCAATCCCTGAAATGCTTGCAACTACTTAGAACGAATGTGCGCCGCGCTGGGGCGAGAACCACATGTTGAAAACGACCCGCCCCCAATCCGTGACACTCTTGCAAATGATGAAAACGAATGTGCGCCGCGCTGAGGCGAGAACCGCATGTTGTAAACCACCTGCCCTCAATCCGTGTAGCTCCTGCAATTGTGAAACACGAATGTGCGGCGCGCTAAGGCAAGAGCCACACATTGAAAACATCACGCCCTCCATCTGTGAAGCTCTTGCCAATGTTAAAACTTCAGAATCAGAAGTGGTGGGGTCTCAAGCGAGACGCCGGGCCCGCCCCGCAAACTGGCCTCGGGGTGCGAAAGGGATAAATTATCAAGAAGGCAAAAGGAAGGGAGGAGGAGGAGTGAGGAGTGAGGAGTGAGGAGGAGGAGGAGGAGGAGAGGGAGGAGGAGGAGTAGGAGGAGGAGGAGGAGGAGAAGGAGGAGTGGGAGGAGGAGGAGAGTGAGGAATAGGCGAGGGAGGAGCGAGGAGGGGGAGGGACGGAGAGAGAGCGACGCAGAGATGGACAGAGGGGACGGAGAACAGGGAGAGCAGGAGGAGTGGCAGGAGGAGAAGGAAAGGAGGGAGGGAGGATGTAGAGGGGGGCGAGGGTGGGAAGAGACAGAAGGAGAAGGACATAAAGGAGAGAGCGAGAGAGAGAGAGAGGGAGATCAAAAAAAGAAGAGGGAGGGGGAGATGAGAGGAAGAGAAGAGGGAAAGGGAGATGGTGGAAGGAGGGAGAGAAGGAAGGAGGAGCACGAGGAAGGAGGCGGATGGGGCAGGTAGGCAACGATGAGGACGACGTCGCCGGCGGCGCGAGCTCCAGAAGCCTCCTCGGAGGCTTCCGGCCTCCGGCGGGCCTGGGAGGCCTCCGCGCCGCTCCAGCGGCCCTGGGAGGCCTCCGCGTCCGCGGAGGCCCCCGGCGGCGGCCGTTGCTCGGTGAGGTGGGCCCCTGGGGCTTCCCCCGCCCTCCCCTCTCGGCCCCCCCTCCTTGCCTCCTCCTCCTCGGTCCCCTCCCCTCTCCTGGAGCACGCCGGCGGATGCTGCGCCCCACGTTTCGCCTGCGCCGCCAGCGCTGCCCGTCACAGCAGGCCCGTGTTACAACTTCGCCGTCCCCGCGCGTGGGGCGTGACGCTCTCGGGCGCCCGGTTGGACATCTGCCTGGCCTCTGGGGCTCTCGAAACCCGTCCCGCGAGGCCCGGCGGCACCACCACCTGCACGAGGAGCCTGGGGGGGAGGGGGGCGGGGCATCCTCTGGACACCCTCGCCAGGGCGCCGCGCCTCCTCTCTCCGAGGACGAGGACGCCTTCGGAGGAGGAGCTCGGATCAGGTCGGGCTCGTCCTCCTGCAGGCTGGCGTTGGCAGAAACAGTAATAACATAATCCACACATAGTCAACCATACCCAAACAAGAGCACGAAACATCGTCCCCCGAATATGGTTTAACCTTCCTTAAATATTCTTCCTAAAAGCGGACACGCACAACTTCAAGCGATGACTCCCTGAAGGCCAGCGGGTCTGGACAAAGCATCGGGCGCGGCTGCCGTGGTTCCAAAACACGCCGGAACGCTGCGAGAGCGCTCTGGAACGCTGTGACATCGATCTGTCCTCACCCTAAGGTTGCCTGTCACCGTAGCCATTTGGCTCAGGTTTTAGGCTCGAGCAGGCTTCGCCAGCGAGTTCGCACCGAGGGTCGGCAACGTCCTCGGCGAGACTTTTTTTCTATCCCGTGTCACGCACTCTCACTGAGTACAGCAGGAGAAAAGCATCGTCCTCATCCGAAGCTTGCCTGATTAAGCATTTTGATTCATACCACATCCGCTTGTCTGCGGGACCCAGCTGGGAAAGCAGCTCGCACGGTACGAGACATCTGACGATGCTGTTTTGTTTGGTGCGCAGACCCAACCTTTGTGGGCCCCGGAAACGGCACGGCCGTTTTTCACCGTTTCCAAAAAATGAACAAAAAACGGCAAAACGGAACCGGTAACAAAAACGGCCCTGTCGTTTCCAGGGCCCACTAAAGACCCAACCACTTCCCCATACTTCTTTGTCACGGATCCTTTCTTGATGGTCCCCAAGCCAAACATCAAGGCCGAGCAAACCCTGTCCAAACCGTAACCCCGCCGCGGAACGCCCTTATCGTGCACCAAACGCACGCGGGGCAAACACGGTGCAGAGTCAACCCGTATCATAAGGATGCGCGGTAAGGATGCAAGGGCCTCGGAGGCCCATGTGAATGTTTTTCGAACGAGGCTGGCAAGCGAAAGTCACAGTGGCCAAAGGGGCCGAAGGGACAAGGATGCAAGGGTACCCTTGGGAAGGGCACCCATCCTTAGTATGCGGGTTGACTGTACAATGCAGACACGGAAGCCCTGTTTCCACATACCATGTAACATGCGCCACATACTGGGTCCCAGCGTACTTCCCAAGGGGAAACAACTACTAGAGGGTCATGGTTCGACGGCGTTTCGAACGGATTGGAACTTCCTGAAGGTGCTGTCCCTGCTCGGCGACAAACGGCCCCCAGGGGCTGGAGTCGACGAGAAACGCCGAGATTGGGAAAATCATGTCGTCGGAGATGTGGGTTTCTTGTTGTGGATGCCATGACCATGGACACTCTGACAATTCCATTAATGAATTACATATGTGTTTAAATGTGCAACACATGTTCTAAACATGTGTCAAACATGTTTCTCAACACACTCGAAACAGATTTGGAACATGCCTTGGACATCTGGAAATTATTTGGCAGCACGCCTCCTCTCCATAAATCGCCTTCCACAGGTTCCTTGTGTTGCGACGCCCCGATGCGAGTGCTCGATCGGCGACCCGCCTCCCGTGCGCATCTCGCGCGTCAGCAGCAGGCTGGATGCACGCAGCGTCCCCCCGAAGCCCAGCTCCGCGGCCGCGGCAAGGGCCTTCAGCTGCCCCAGCGCCTGCGCACCCCCCCGCCAGCATCCATCGGGGAGACAGAGGGACTCGGGTTCGGGGGACCCTCCCCCCCGCTCCACCTCCCCCCCTCCGCCCGCCCCCCCCCCCCCGCCAGGCCCCCGATTCCGGCCGCCCTCCCCCCCTCCCCCGCCCGCCCCTCCCCTCCCCTGCCCGCCCTCCCCTGCCCGCTCGCCCGCCACTCCGCCCGCCCCCCTCCCCGCTCGCTCCCCCGCCCCCCCGCCCGCTTCCCCCCCCCCCCCGCTCGCTGCCCCTCTGCCCGCCCCCCCCGCCCCCCCGCCTCGCGGGCCGACGCCAAGTCCACCGCGCAGCCCGCGCCGGGGACGGGCCTGCACTCCCCGGCCATGCCTGCGCGGGTGGCCAAATGAAAAACCACGGCGGCGGTGCGATCCTTCGCGGCCAGTCGCGCCACCCCCTCCCTTCGAGGAGGAGGAAAAGGAGGAGGAGGAGGAGGAGGAGGAGGAGGAGGAGGAGGAGGAGGAGGAGGAGGCGGATCGAAGACGAGACTCGAGCGGAGGGGGAGGAGGAGGATCGAGAAGGAGGCGAATGAGGAGGAGCGCGCAGTGCCACAGGAGCCCAGGAGTCTCGGGGTGGCTGGCGCCCCCGCCCCCCCCCCCTCATCAGATCTCAGCAGCTCACGTGGGCAGACCAGGGGGGCAATCCAGGCTCGGGCAGGCTGCCTGCCGTCGAGACCCTGCGACCCTCCGTCGCACATCGAGGCCTCGAGTGGATGGGGTGGACGGTATGGGGCGGAGCGGGCAGGGAGGGGGGGGCCAGGGGGAGGAGGAGGAGGAGGAGGAGGAGAGAGGAGGTGGAGGGGGAGGAGGAGGAGGAGGAGGAGGAGGAGGAGGAGGAGGAGGAGAAGGAGGAGGAGGAGGGGGAGGAGGTCCGGCGGGGGAGAGTGGAGAAGAACTGGCGGGGGGAAGGGCGGGGCACCTGGCCGACGAGGCCTGGCAGTTCTCAGGCAGGGGTGCCGCGCCCTCGGCCCTCTCCAGCGAGGTCACGCTCCGCCAGCATCCTGCTCGGTGGAAGGAGACCTGCGGACGGGCGACGGTGGAGCTGGGCCGGGCACTGGCTGGGCCTCATCGATGGCCCCTGGGCGGGCGGCAGGCGTCCTGGCGAGCCCCCGTTCGAAACGTGGTCGGCGGCACGAGATCATGCCATAGAAGGCTGGCAGCTCCTCTGAGGGCGTCGGGGAGTGGGTGCCTCGGGCGTCTCCCTGAGGGCGTCCCTCAGTTCTCGGGCGTCTCCCTGAGGGCTCCAGGGGAGTGGGGGCCGCCGAGCGCCGACGAGAAGCCATCAGATACAATCTCTTGAGAACGGCAATTCGCTTGCCTGTTGCCGCTGCTGCTGCGGGCAGGTGCGCGATGACGAAGCACTGTGAGGTGCCATGGGTCCACGATGGGGGGTTATCATTCTCAACCGAGTTGGTGAAGTGTCCCGAAGATGTCGCGGAGCGTTGGATGTGGATGTTTCCGCCCTCGCGCGACGGGAAGGCAACCCTATTGGTTCAACGGCCCGTCGAAATCACAGGGGGCACGTCTACAGCTCAGGGTAAGCCCCCAGCGTAAAATGGAAAGAAAGATCTGCCTCCAGAAAGTGGTTACCAGAATTCGCCTGGCTCGCCGCACTGCCAGCCTCGAGCGTGGTATAGTGGCAGTGACCGATCAGTGCATGTTCGGGAGCCCGCATCTGAAGTCGACCATATTTGCTTTATATAAGTGAACGCATGATCCTTCGAGGTGGTCAGGTGCGTCGATGGGGAGTTGGCGGCGGCGGGTGCCAACACCCAGGCGGTCGAGTGGCGGCGGTCGAACTGAGAGAACTGCGTGTAGTGTGTGGTCGAGTTCGGCTTCCAACGAACACCTGCTCTCCCGAACGGTCAGGCAGGAGGCCGCTCTTCTCCCGTGCTCCTCGAGGTCGTCGAGCAAGGACGCCGCCGTCGCTCTTCGTTCAGCCCTGGGCCGCCCCGACACGCGACACGCAACACGTAGCGTGGTGCTACGGGGGTCAACACGTAGACCGAACACGTGCGTGCCTGGCGCGGCACGTTCGCCGACAAGTGTGGGCCGACTCGTGGAGCCAGCACGCGGCGGGCGACCACGGCCGCTGTGAGCACCGTGCGCGCTGCGTGTCGAAAGCACGTCCTCGCCTTCCTCCTCGCACAACCTATTCCTCCTCCTCTTCCTCCTGCTCCCCCTCCTCCTCCTCCTCCTCCTTCTCCTCCTCCTCCTCCTCCTCCTCCTCCTCCTCCCAGGCGCATCGAGGCATCGAAGGGCCCCAGACGCTGCCGTAGCTCTCTTTGCTTCTGTGCCCCTCGGGCCCCCACTTCCACGCTCGCCGGCAGCACTCGAGCAGGTTGCCGACAGCCCCAGCACTCCTGCAGGCCTGCCACGACATTTCTCTGGGCCAAAGCATGGTATACGAACAACAACTGCTGTGGGTTGGAACATCAAGCCGAGGTGCTATAAAGCACAAAAAGGTCTCGGCCAGAAGTGCTCTGAGAAAATCTCGTGCAAACCACAGCGGGTTCTTGGAACATGCTTTGCTGGGCTTCTCGGCAGGCCGGGACGCCTCGCCACTGCTGGACGCACGGCCGTGCTCCCGAGAGCGCGGGCAGGCCTGGCCGCAGGCGAGGAGGAGGATGAGGAGGTGGAGGAGGAGGTAGAGGTGGAGCAGGAGGGAGAGGAGGAGGAGGAGGAGGAGGAGGAGGAGGAGGAGGAGGAGGACGAGGAGGAGGAGGAGGAGGAGGAGGAGGAGAAGAGGAGGAGGGACGGGGGAGATGAGGAGGATGAGGGGAGGAGGAGAGGAGAGGAGGAGGAGGAGGGGTGGAGGAGAAGGAGGAGGACCCCCTCCCCCTCCAACCTTCGGTGGTGGTGGTGGTGGAAAACAGGCCCAGCGCCATTGCTGCACAGCAGCCCGAGGAGGGGAACAGCAGGAGGAGCAGGAGGAGGAGGACGAGGAGAAGGAGGAGGAGGAGGAGGAGGAGGAGGAGGAGGAAGAGCAGGCGGAAAAGGAGGAGGAGGAGGAGGAGGAGGAGGAGGAGGAGGAGGATGAGGAGGAGGCCCTCCTCTCGGCGGTCGGCGCGCCCTGGCGCCAGGCTGGCGCAGCGAAGGATAAGGTCCCCGGAGGTCTCCAGGCGGCCTCCGGCTGCTCGGCGGGCCTGCCCGCTCCGCGTGGTGGACGCTTCCTGCACCCTCCCCTCGGCGGTCTGCACACATCGGCGGCAGGGTGGCGCCGTGGAGGAGGAGGAGGAGGAGGAGGAGGAGGAGGGAGGAGGAGGCGCAGGAGGAGGAGTGCGCAGGAGGAGGCAGGAGGAGGAGGCAGGAGAAGAGGAGGAGTTAGGAGGAGGAGGAGGAGGAGGAAGAAGGAGGCGGAGGAGGAGGAGAGGGGGGGGGGGGGAAGAGGCGCAGGAGGAGGAGGAGGAGGAGGAGGAGGAGGAGGAGGAGGAAGAGGAGGAGGAAGAGGCCCTCCTCTGCGGGGACAGCGGCCAGAAAGCCGCGGGGAGGGTAGACCTTCCTCGGCTGAGCTCGCTCAGCCTCCGCGCCCAGCCCCGCAGGAGGGGGCCCCTGGAAGTCTCCAGGCGGCCTCCAGCGGCAGAGACGTGCTCGTTTGGCCCGAAAGCCTCGATCCTCGGCCCTCGATCCTGGAGCCTCAAGGAGTGGAGGCGGAGGAGAGGGCATGAGGGAGAAAATCCGGATGACGACAACGTCGACGAAGACGACGACGACGAGAATGAGGACGACGACGAGGAGGATGACGACGAGGAGGTCGTCGACGACGAATACCACGACGAGGGCGACGACGACGACGACGACGACGGCGGCGGCGGCGGCGGCGGTGGCGGCGCGGCGGCGGCGGTGCCAAGGGCGACGACGGCAGGAATGCGGCCGACTCTGGGCTGGTGTCGCCGCGGGTTGTTGCCGCCCCGCTGGCGGTGCCTGCAGGCAGGGCCCCGTAGCCGGGGTGGTCCGCGAAGAAGGCGGGCAGCAGCCACTCGCCAAACTCGCTTGTGACGGGGGCGGGGAGCCCGAAGAGAGGCGCCTCCCATGCCACGACCCAGTGACCCAGTGGCGGTCCGTTCCTTCTTCCCCCCCCATGCCTCCTCTCCCGCCCTCCTCTCTCCCCCTGGAGGGGGGCGGGGGAGAAGGGAACAGAGGAGGGGAGGGGAGAGGGGGCGAGGAGAAAGAGTTCCTCCTCTCACGCCTTCCTCTCCCCTCGCTCCTACTCCTCTCCCTGGAGGGGGGCGGGGGAGGAGGAGGAATTACTCCGACGGAAGGACCCCACATGAGAATTTCTTTAGCTTGCATGGGGGTATCCTCCTGCCCCTTCTCTTCTCCCACCTACTCTTGTCTCCTCGTTCTCCTCCTGTCTGCTCCTCCCCCTGCCTCAACCCCTGCCTCTTCCTCCTCTTCTTGCCTCCTCCACCTCCTCCACCTCCCCTCGTTATGCTTCCTCCCCCCCATTCCCCCTGCCCCTCCTGCCTCCTGCCTCCTCCTCCGGATCTAACTCCTCGTATCACCATCCGCCGTAAGAAGAAGATCTAAGAAGCATCATCCCCGGTCACTCCTAATCTTCCCTCTTACCTAAGTGACGCGGTGCTCACCTCTACAGACTACAGACCGTCATTCCTCCGACCTCAGCACTCGTGCAATGTATGCTCCCCCTCCTCCCCCCCCTCCTCCTCCTCCTCCTCCTCCTCCTCCTCCTCCTCCTGCCTCCTCCTTAGGCCTCCTGCCCCCTCCTGGGGCCTCCTGGGGCCTCTTGGGGCCTCCTGGAGCCTTCTGTGCCTTCCGGGACCTACTGGGGCCTCCTCGGGCATTCCTCCTCCTCCTTTTCCTCCTCGTCCTTCCTCCCCTCAGCCTCTTCCTCTTCCTGCTTTCCTGTCTCGTCCTGCATCATCCCTCCTCCTTTTCCTGGCAATCCTCCTCCTCCTCCTCGTCCTCGTGCGGAACACGACCCAGAGGAAACGCACGACGTGCGTCCCAGCCGATACGCGCCGGAGGACGACCCAGAGGAAGCGCGCGCCGGAGGATGACCCGGAGGAACCACGTGAGCTGCGGGACCCATAGGAAGGCTCCCGCCTGACGCGTCCTCACAATTCACTCACAGACGAGGCTCCCGCTTGATACTTCTTCCAAATTCAGACCTGAGGAGCCCAAAAGTGACGACAGTTACAGGAATCCGACGACCCGCTCGGATTAATAACATGATGCGCGGGCCCCATAGGGAGGGGGCTCCCGCCTGAGACTTCCTCGCAATTCACTCACAGACGAGGCTCCCGCTTGATACTTCCTCCAAATTCAAACCTGAGGAGCCCAAAAGTGACTACAGTTACAGGAATCC